TTTCTTTGTCCATTTATATTCGACTTTGGTATTTGAGCAAACTGTATTTCAGATTGTAATGGTTTTAACTATAGTCTCACAATCCCTTCTTTTTGGTGTTACTGTCTTTCCATGCTCATATCGTCTATGGCTCAGGTACTACAAGGGAGGAAGGATCAGAATGATACATTATGTCTCCCGCATTCTATTCCAATGATGCGTTCTCTCAATACGAAACCTTAGGTTTTAGGTTCTTTGGAAGATCCTTAGAAGTAACTGACGGGTCAAAATATATCTAAGCTCTACTTTGAATTCACCTTCCTCTGGGTTAGTTTTAGAAATATCATTCTTCCGTTATCTACTTTTATAGTTGATGCACTTATCTTTCAAATAGAAAGTATTACGTATAATTGGTCCAGTGGGTGTCCCCATTTTAAAATTCGGACGTTAGCTATCCTAGTTATTTTTGTAAAACATTTGTTTTGCAAATCTTGCTAATGAGCTCTATTTTATCTATTTGGAAAGTAGAACAAAAGGGTCTGGGCTGTTCACCAACTAAAATAATAATGTTATTTGCAAATTATAGGAAATGACGCATGACCTAAGGAATGAGATAAGTATACGTTTATTTGCATTTGGCTTCTTTATTCCTTGAAAATATAAATTGGACTCAAATTAAGGCAGAATTGTCCTACTGAGTTAGGACTCTCTTTTTTAATGAAGCTTCTGTGGTACTTGTCTATGATTTAACAATATTCAGGTTGGTTGCCATTTTATCGTATTGGATTTCATGCCGTTTCAGGAGATATATCGCTCCCTTCGTCAGAAGAAACTCTCAAACTGTAGATTAAGTCCTCTTGTCGGTATTTATTTTTGCTGTGTGTACAGATCCATATTGTTTTGGTGCATGATTTGAGTCATTGAACTGTGACGTTTTGTTGGTGATGTTTGCAGATGTATCGTTTCCAAATTTCAGGTAGTTAATTCTAGACCCCTGGTTTCATTGAAATTGATTCGAAATTCCTGGATATTGCTTGCTTATCTGTAGAGGCCAAAATCTTGCTTCTCTTAATAGAATTTTTATGCCAAAATCCATTTAATATTTCAAGGATTCCAAAAACGCCTTTAGAGACGAAATTGTGCAAATTTCTTTAAGTTAACATTGAAGACATACGAGATAAAAGCTATTTGCTACATCTGTCGCCTTAGGCTTTATTATAAATAATTAGTATAAGTATATGATTTAGTTCCGTCACACAATCAGACGTATTAAGTGCTATGAGTGGTATCATCCTACTCATGAATAATTTTGAGTATATATATATATATAGGTCCGTAAGAAATTTGGATGCTGTATTGTACATTTTGTGAAGAGGATCATAGTTTTATTTTCAAAAATAGTGCGTCAATGGTCCAATAAATAGTAAACAATGTAACAATTCGAGCTGGCAATTTTTTTCTCATCACATCATCCTCCATTTTCCCAGAACGGACCATCCTATCGCTATCGAGTTCAAAATTGTCGAGTGACTGCCGAAACGGCGCGGTATCGCGACAGATTAACCGTGAACTGTGCCCGATAACCCGCCCCGTCGCGCGTATAAGCGACCAGGAAACGAATTAGCATTCGCTAGACTAGGCTAGTTGAACCGCTTGAAATTAGAACCGAGTCAAGTTCACTATACCCGGTCGCGTCGACGGCCGTTCTGCTCGATGGCTTCACGTTTCAGTTTCTTTTTCCGTAAATAGACCGGTGCAGCGGAGCTCTGCGATTCTCGATCACGGTATCGCTGCGTTTCTTTTCTCCTGCAGCGGCACACACTGCGATCAAAAGTGAACACGCGGGATGCGACTAGAAAGTCCCAATTACGTCAGTCGGCGATATCGCGAATTTTCTAATTCGTTGTCGTTTTTCTCCGCGACTTCCCCGTGAATAGGCGTGTCATTCCAATGTATGCCACATCGGCTAGCCTTCAAAGTTTAACGATTCGGAAAAACTGGAAAAATTGGAGAAAAATTTGTTTTCGTCTCTTTCCGAAGCGAAATAATTATTAAATATTATTATACCATCTGCATTGTTCCTTATATTTATTTCGACATGAAATTGTCAATAACACAAGCATAGAACGAACAAAAAAATATATAACGAAAGACAACCTTTGGCGGAAAAGTATCACCCTGTTAGCTTCGCCGAATTAAAAATAACTCACGGGTGTACTATGCAATACATCACATCCCATATTCCTAGATGATACGCCAAAAACTTAACCTTGATCTAGGCGATTTTCCTTCTAAAAATGTCGGCCGGTGCCAACTTTTTTTTAGATTTAGCTTACCTGATACAGGAAGCATACACATCCATTGACTTCGATTTCTGGTAGACCGCAACATTTTTGCGATCCATTATATTTAGGACCTAGGCAGGCACCCTATACACTTTAGAGGTGCTTTATGCCAAGATTGCTAGATTTACTCGAATATTTAAATCGATGAGCCAAAAATGGCACAGTCACTCAGTGCTGATTTTACTCTTCTGAAGAAACTGCAGCTTGCAACGTCAGTAAGCTTCACAATTTTAATTTTGGAGGTGCTGCATTTCTTCAACCTCATCAACAATCTTAAATCTTTTTGGTCTAAAAAGTCTTTCAAGAATCTAAAAACCTGATAATCAGAAGAAACAAGGTTAAAATTCTAAGAACATTGGACAATCCCCTTTTAGACGAAAATCCTCTACAACTTCGTACTGTTTTTTACTTCCTCCAAAGCTGCATTTGTCAGGTAATATTATAGTTAAGTCAAAATAGATATCTGGCTATTAATATTCGATGGTATTAGGTAATAAAAAAACTATTAGTCCAAGTGGACTTTGCTTCGGATATTGGACTAAGTATAACAGTTGGCACTTCGTTGGACAGGGCTAGACTTTAAATAAGTCAGCGGTACTCAAACAATGGTACGTGGCGGTTATCAATGAACTCATTCAGCAAAATTTTTTATTTGCTTAACGGAAAGATATTGCAATTTTAAGGTTCTCTGCAAAAAATTTGAATTTTATATCGCCTATGTCATCCAAAAAAAATCATAAACTGAACCGGCAGGTGTGACGTCACCTCATGGGAAACCGATGCCGTATGCTTGCGTGTGTTGTCAGTCAGTCGGGTTTTAGTTGCCTGTTAATTTTCGGTTGAGTACGATAAAATACCGAATTTTGTTAGCAATATGGAAGACAGAACAGAAAAAAAAATACAAATATGTACTGTATTTGTTCCCCAGCACTAGTGTGAAGACGCCTAAGAAAATAATAATGTCCCCGTAATTCTGTCGTGCGGATTTAAAATCAACAGTCTTTACTTTGATTTATTTTATTTAACATCTTTTATTTGAAAAATGACTTATTTTGAAAGCAGCAAAACTACCCTGCGTAACCGATAAAGTATTGGTTTTTATTAAAAAAATCCATAACCATTAACAAACCTACTTCTGGCAAATTAGAAGAATCTGCTTTTACGAAATTTGCTTCCATTTTTTAAATTTAATATACACAAACGCTAAAACATTCTGTAGATGCAGAAACTCATCAGGAAGTAGCGCCAAGCCGGCTGACCTTCCCATGCGGTGACGTCATTGCATTGACACGGCTGAGACAAATATTCGCGTTTAAAAAATCATACAGTTTTAAAACCGCTCAACGGATTGAGCTGAAATTTTCATAGCAATACTTCGTGTGTACAAAATAAGAACGTTTTTGAAAATTTGACTCTTTTTCTCCAGAAGAAACTGAAGCTGAGGGTAAAGTCTTCTAGCTGGTATTCATATTTGCTGGGTATACAGTGTAGGAAAGTACCGATGGTCTATCAGAAGTTACGTGAGAGCGATAAAGTAAGTCATAGAAATCCATGTGATAGACAAGGATGGCTATAATGAAGGCGTCTAATAGTCAGCGCCCATTTCGCCCTTCCACAAATAAGATTCACTTCTTATTTGTGGAAGGGCGAAATGGGCGTTGACTATTAGACGCCTTCATTATAGCCATCCTTGTCTATCACATGGATTTCTATGGCTTACTTTATCGCTCTCACGTAACTTCTGATAGATCATCGGTACTTTCCTACGCTGTACATGTCAATGGCATTCCGTGGCTTTTAATCATCTGCCTTTGTCGTTGTCAACCTTGATTTTCGAGGACGAAAAGTTTCTATATTCCAGAGTTTTAACTTCTTAGAACTTAATTCTGGTGTGAGAAACAAGATTTTGACCAAGACTCTACAACGAGGCAACAGAAATCTACAAGAATCCAGATAATTTCAACCGGAAAAGTATGGAACAATGCACATGGCAACTATAGGACTTGTTCTATAGATTTTCCTTAAGAATACAACGATGTGTCTCTAGAAGATGTGGAACTCTCCAGAAATTGTTCGACCATAGTACTTCTGCCATTTCTAGGTAATTTGCAGTGATCGGCTTGTATCTATTGCCCATTAAAAGAACATATCCAATTTAAACACTCCTAGTTTCAATTTTTAAAGGATTTGAAGCTAGGTAGGTGGTTCAACCATAACACGGATCAATTCTCTGAAGTCTGCATGCGGTTCCGAGGTATTCAAAATAGAGAAATGGTGCTTTTGGCGACCCAATAAGTCAAGATCGGCGTTGAAGCAGACAGTACGCTCCGCTTAATGACGGAGCGCCTCCTATTAATACCCGCCCGCTGAGCCCCTCATCAATCAGCCCCCCGGCGATGCCCGCAGGGCCACCACCTTCAGACCAAGAGCAGCCGCCCACGCGGAAGCCGCTCTCGTTTTGTTTACAACAAATTCTAACATTAGACGCGTTAAACCCGGCCCATATAGCGCGTCTAATAGCTACCGACTACGCTAGGATATGCCTAACCTAACCCAACTTTCCTAGCTCTGCGCAAGCGACGGCCATCATTTCACTTTCGGCCGGAGCGCGCGGCGATTTCTACCGAGAGCCGCGACTACGGCGTCGTGCTTATATGAGTCAGTGGGACACCTCAGTCTACGTTGCCCGTTCCTGAGCATTAGTCGGGCGCCCATACCTCGCCAAGGCACTCTCCCAGCACGCGTGTGACTGTGTTTATTTACCTCACCGAGTGATTTGGAGTGCGATGCTCGCCAGCGGACACCGCTGAGTATGACGATGATTCTTATGAAGCCGTACAAGATGCCCTCCGTGCCCGACCTGCCTCTCATCAAGTCGCTGGTCTCGCCGCAGAGGATCAAGGAGGAGTGCGAGGACTTTTGCACCAGCAGCATGGACGAGGACGCTGACGCTCCTCTGGACTTAAGAGTGAATTGTGGCAGGGTTAGTCCCGCTAGGGACTCCGGGACTGAAAGTGACGACACGGAGGACAAGATCATCCTGCAGGACGGGGCCGAGCCCTTCAAGAAGAGCCTCATCAAGAGATGTAAGTTGTCGATGAAAAGTAGCCTTAGCTTTCGATGTTTCACAGGAAAACGCTACTGGCGAACGCCAGGATGTAACTACTTAGTCTCTGTCTCTTATCTCGAAATTGTTAAAGTGGGAACGCGATTTATCTAAACCAGAAAATTATAAAATTGTTATTAAGTAAACATTTTTGATACGCCAGACAAAACAACTCAAAATTTAAACAGTAGAAATGCTTCTTTGCGTTATTTTGTCGCCTTTACGGAGTCACATTAACTGCACTGTAATTTTAGCTTTGTCATTTTTTGTAATAACCGTAGGTAGTGCAACTACCATGACCTACATTAATAAATTCCTACCGTTTATGCATTTACGTATTCTGAATTAAAATTTATAGATTATGTTCAAGGTTTGAAAATATTACGGACATAGAAAAACTTTAATTGAAACGAATTCATTTTTCGACGCAGTGGTTGGCCGAATCTTTGTGCACTTGCTTGCTTCTTGAGTAAACATTGATAATGAGAAAAATTGTTTCAAATCCAAGGCTGTTCCTACCCCACGCCGCTAAAAAAATTGCCACCATAAAAAGCATCCTTTGGAAACGACCTTTGCTTCGTAATTTTGTCACTGACAAAAATCGTTGTGGACCAAAACTACTTCCAAGTTATTTCTGTCGTCGAGATAACAATTACACCGTCCGATCGCGGCAAAAATAGTCCAGTTCCCCCCTCGGATATTTTCATAAATATGTTTATCTCCCGTGTACATTTTTATAAGGACAGCCGTAAGTGTATTTATTTATTTTGTTATAAATAGAAACGCGTTTTGTAACGCCGTACAAGGTTTTTATATTTGATATAAATCATTTCAACGTTAGCATATTTGTATACAAAACAAATAATAAATAAAACAAACAAATAGCTTTAATAAAAAAAATGTAACAAGTTTCCGAATAATAATTAAAAATATGTACGTAGCAACCACTAAAACATATAACTGATACCCGTTAAAATAAATAGCAATTTCAGATAAAAAAAATTACGGCATGATTCGCGGCTGATACTCTCGTATAATTAAATTACATGACCTTAGTCGTGTTGTCTAAGGTCACAAAAATCCGAGCTAAAATTATCGGGCTGATAAAATAAATCCGAATAATGCCACAGCTTATTGTTACTTCTTTGGTACCACTGACTTCTGCGGTAAATTTTTTTATGATACGAGATAACGATAACTGAAAAGTGCAATTAAAAAAAATAATCAAATCGCATGCAGATTTCATTGTTGTGAAAATAAAAACTCGCTATATATGTAATTACAGACGGGTTCATTGTTTTGCTACGTTGTTGCAACATTGTTATTCATTACGGGAACATATCCATAAAACGACCTAAAACCAACTTCCTTGATTGATTAATCGTTATCCTTATTCTCAGCTATTTTTTCTGTAAACATTTGGAAACCAATAGCGGGTGCCTGACCTTATCCATGGCTACCCGTCTATTGTCACATCCGCTATAAAAAAGGCTGTATTTTATTACAAACCATTTCCTTTAAATGATTAATAAGCAGCATGTAATTTAAAGGCGCATTTCATGAAGCAACGAAGCCGGTGAAGCGTAACATTTCTATGTAATTACATTAATAAAGCACTTTGCTACTGGATCTAGCCGTGATTCTACCAGAATAGGGGGTACGCGATCAGAAGCCTACCCGAGAGAAAAATAGACTCGGCATTGGACGGAGTTTGTTTACGTTCGGAGGAAAAAAAACATCGGTCGGCGGGCACGGTTTCTCTTTTAAAACAATCGTAAAAAGGTGTCCTTACACAAATTTTAAACACGCCCAATGCCAAACTTCGGCGGGTGATCTTGACGGTATTATTGTGACATAATTTTTAAAATAAATCGAGAACTTAACGTAAACAACTCGTATATTCCATCGATTTGTTTGACCCTGACCTACACTGGGCTCGGTGGAGGGTGGAAGGTCTATCTATCTCTCGAATGAAAGCGCTGCCAGGGGGTTGAGAGGGACGATACTGCGGCAGACTGGATAGAGTTTGGAACGATCTAAGCGATGAATTCCGCTCACGAGCTCGGGCAAAAATGTTGTCCACTAAACCGATTTGATGACTGATCTGTTTTGGAAATATTTATAAATAGTTTTATAAAATTTAACAGCCCCTAAGTTATTTGCCTTAAAATCGTAAAAATACAGCTAATAATTCAATTTCATTAATGTTATCTATCTACATTTATAACTGTTCTCTTTTGGAATTACTTATAAATCGTTTTATAAACATTAAAAATCCTTAAAAATTGCCTGGCACATTAAAATAATGAACTAATTCCCTTTCATTAACGTGCAGACAGAAATGGTACGGAAATATCCCAATCAGTCCGCAAATCGATTTTATAACAGATTTCTTTGGAAACATTTATAAAACCTTTTATAAAAATTAACCACACATAAATGTTGTCTGAAAAACTGAACTAATGGAAACATAACCAATAATTTCCTTTCGTTAACGTACGTAGTGGTTATAAAACTATTATATGATCGTGTTTCTCAAAAGCAATAACCTCTTAAAATATAAGAGAGACATGGGACTAAAATATTATCCTAATCATGATGTCCTTAAAATTTTATAATTGGTCTTTTGAAAATAGTGTTTATAAATAGTTTTATAAAATTGCTTAGAAAACTAATGTCACGAAAACATAGCTAATTATTATTCCTTTTCAGTAATGTATATACCTGATAGTTCCAAAAGTATGTCTATGAATTGTTCTCATAATCAATTCCTGGCAGTATATTTGGAATCCGAATGGAAATATAATCCTAATATAATGTCAATAAAACCAATTTCACAATTGATCTCCTTTGGACGTACATATTTATAAAACTTAACAATACAAGATATTGTCTAGAAAACTGTCATACTAATTCGTTTGCAATAATGTGCCTGTATCTTCCTAATGTAATGTAAGAGAGAAACTGTAGTGAAATATTCCAATCAAAATGTCCGTAAATCAATTTTATAACAGATCTCTTAGAAAACATTTATAAAACGTTTTATAAAAATTAACCAGACATAAATATTGCCTGGAAAACTAAAGTAAGGGAAACATAACTAATAATTTCCTTTCGTTAACGTACTTGATGGTTATAAAACTTTTGTCTAATGGTGTTTGTCACAAGCAATAACTTCCTAACAATATAAGAGAGAGAGGTAGGACTGAAATATTTTCCACGATGTCCTTAAAATTTTATAATTGGTCTCTTTTGAAATAGTGTTTATAAATCGTTTTATAATATTGCTTAGAAAATCATGTCATGAAAACATAGCTAATAATTCCTTTTCATTAATTGTATGTACCTGTTCTTCTGTTCTCATAATCAAACCTTTCCTGGCAGTATATTTGGCATCCGGATTGAAAGATCCCAAACAAAATGTTATAAAACCAATTTCACAATTGGTTTCCTTTTGAAATATTTATAAATCGTTTTATAAAACTTAACAACACAGATATTGTCTAGAAAACTGTCTTATTAATTCGTTTTCAATAATGTACTGATAGTTCTAGGAGTATTGTTTAATATCTATCATAAACAATACCTTCCTAACAATATAAAGGGTGAATGAAAGTGAAATGGTATAAAACAAATTATATAATTGATATTTTGTGGACACACTTATAAAAAATGAGAGACCAAAGCAAATATGGCTAATACCTTTCATTAATGTTAATGCTTGTGTAGATCTTCATAATCTATTTTATTTGAATTGAAATTACAGACATCTACAATTCATGAAAACTAAATATGCGACGATACAATTTTTTTATGTATGTTTACTGAAAATTCCTTGATAAACCTAAATATGGAGGACGTGATCCATCAAAATTTCAATAGATATGACTCACCTTTCGATCGATCCTTAAAATTATATCTACGTTACAGGGGACAATCATCTCTAAAATTAATGTCGAACGCAACTTTACTATATTTCAAGGATAAGTACCCACAAAAAAACTAAAGTATTCTGGGTTCACCCACCCCACAACCACCCTGATTTATGTTTATCATCATCAGGCCGCATCAGACGTCGTTTTTGTATTCATGGCATTTAAAAAATGATCCTCGAGAAGAAGGCATTATGATAATGCGTCTGGTGGATGGCCTAGGAAAGGGCTGAGACGATTTTTTATAGGTCAAACGAGGCAGGGTTTTTACCTGTTGGCCATCTCGTCGCGTCCTATTATTAGAAAAAAAAAACTATCTATTACCAGCTAGAATAGAAATACTGGTCGGAATGTTTATAATGATAATTTATCGTCGGATTATGTTAAAGTGGATCTAACGTACGAAGCGAATATCGAAATTAACACGGCGCAGCTACTTTACTTGTAATTTATCAAAAAGATAAATATGATTTTTCCGTCGATTGCAAATGTAGCCTTCACCCAGATAGCTGTGTCGCCTGGCATTTGCAACAGTAAATATTACTCGTATCGGTTTCTAGAATCGAGTACAATACAAGTCGCTTGTGGGAGGAACTGGTGGCTTTGAAGACAGTAAATCAATTTTTTTAAGCCACAAAAGCAGTTAAACAAACAGAAATGACACTTTAATTTTCCTAGTTTCAAATCGATGATTTAAAATTTATTTAAGAAAACTCCAGATAAATCTGTAGTTTTTTTTAATAATCCACAACTGTTTAAAACATAAAAAAAAATTAACGATTGAATACGCAAGAAGCAGGATTTTTTATATTAATTGTGTTAATATTTAACAATAAATAAAAAAGATAAGGCAGATAAAGCAGAATATCAATTTCGTCTCATACCATTCTTATAATTAAAAATGAAATGAATATTGCGAACTTCTTGGACTGAAACTGTTGTTTTATGCCATAGTTTCAATGAGTAAAGTGACAATTTTAATCCCAAGGGATCAAAAAGTTTAACTTTAGTTCTTTTGTGTACAATACAGCACAATTTCTACTGTTAT